TAATGAAGGTGCAGCAGAAGAGACATACCAGGTGCAATCGCTTCGAAAAGATGGGGTGAATACGGTCCGGAGGCAGGCCGCGTACAAGATGGCTTCGTTATATATATAAGAACGGCAATTGTCGTGCTGTAAAATCCAGCCTCCGGGGCTTCATCAGTTGGCAATAGACCGAACCCCTTAGGAAGTTTTCCGGAAGCGGCTGTTACCTCGACCTTAAAGAATTAGTAGGTCATGAAAATGGATGAAGGAACTTCTAGGTTACCGCTTTCCCAAGGAAGGTCACCTTTAATCCTGAAGTGGAGTTTTACTCGTATAATCATTTCTTCAAGAAAATACACTTACTCAAGGTTCTTTCATGCTACTCCTGATGATTTATCCAGGAAAATTATCATTAAAAATTGTCGTTCTTGTAAACTAGCCTTAAGAAATGATGAAGCCTCTAAATTTAGAGGCGCTTTTCTCTCTTTTCTGCTTATTTTCAAGATGTGTCGTAGCTGCTGCGACTAAACACGAAAATAAGAGGAGGAGGAAAAGTACAAAGAAGAAGAGTGGCTATAACAAGTTTGCAAAGCTGCTGCAGTAGACCGGTATATCACCGTCATCGTCATCATCCGATCCACTGCTAAATAAAGATCTCTCCAAGAATTTGCCATTTTTGTCATCTCAATCCACCTAGATCCAGTGAACTTCTTAACCTCATCCTGCCGTCGATACGGATGTTCTTCCACGTTCCGTTTCCTCTCTCCGGGAACCCAGTCGAACGTCTCTGCAGATAAATCGCATGTCATTGTTATTCATTCTGGAATTCTACCCAAATTGTGGTTGTTGTGCGGTTTATGAAATATGGATTAGAGACGCCGAAGGAATAATGCGAATTTCTGATTCAGAAAAGTACAGATGAAGCGCGCGAGCCTCATCTGTGGGCTGCAGAAACGCGATAATTACTATGGAACTTGCTGATGCCATTTCCAATCGATAGATAGACGATGATTTTAGCCAAAATTAAAAGAGGACAAAGGAAGAGGGTTTACAGAAAAACTCGCCGTAGTTATATGAGTGTGGTCCTATGTGAAAAAGTTTTTTGCTGTTATAACCAACTTCGGTACACGGAAATCTAATGTACTCGCGTTTGTGAGCCACTGCCAGTTAAAGCCACGATTACGATCACTGTTTTAAACACGTCATTACAGAGGTTTACGTCGAAAAGCTGAATGGCAGTGACAAAAGTACGAGTCAAACGTCAGAGACTGGAACAAATTGAATATCTGACTTTGTCGTGGCCATAAATCCTGCATACTGAAGTTACTGGATATCTGAGGTCCTCTTCACTGGAGACGCTATTTGAGGCTGATTGCTGACGCAATAACTAGCGTGGTTTTAACGATGGATGCAACACGGATCGTCAGAGGTCGTGCGACAAAATAGCTTTGAATATAAATTATAAAATTATTGTAGCAAAGTGTTTGTTAAGGCAGACGTACTGCATGACCGATCTTTTAGTTGCTGTACAGTCTTCATTCCGTCAGTTGTGCTCTGCATCGTCAACCGAGTGCCTGTCTACAACACTGGAAAAAACGCTTAGCTGAAATGAGTTATGCTGATGTCAACAGGAACACTAATTTCTAATAAAGGCGAGGAATAAATCTTTCCCATTGACTGCTAAATCCCTTGAGCAACAAATCCACGCTGCAGCACGTACCCCAATTAGCCGAGAAATGTAAAGGGAATCGATTATCTGCGGTAAGTCTAGTGAGGATGGTATTCTGATGTGATCATGTCCAAGCTTACGAGACTTTCGGGCGACGCTGTCTGGTGAATGAGCCCTACATCTGCAATTCGCCTTGATTCTCATGACACATGGCTAATCAAACATCATATTGAAACCGTAGTTGTAAACTCTTTTCCCTCCTTTTCCTTAACGTGCTTCTTTTAGTAGGGAGCTTTATGCTAATTATGCTAAAAACCAACATTCT